CCCTGGGCCCGACGCCAGCCGCAGACCCCGCCCTCTGGTCCCCATTCCTGGCTGGCACCAGACAGCTGCCAATGCCACTCGGACACGGCCTGGGCCACCCGCCAGACGGGCCACTGGGAAACCAACTCTAGGACGTGGGGGTGTCCCCACCCAGCCCTTCCGGGTGGAACCATCTGTGCTGACCGTTCATGGGGCAGGCCCAGGGGGAGGCCGGCTGGCGGCAGCCTGAGAACCCCAGAGCCCAGTGGCTGGACCAGGGTGACAGTGCTGCCACTGGGGCCGGAGACCGTGGATAAGACTCTTCATGGTACAGGCCTCAGTTTCCCCATCTGAAAAAAGTGGAGTGGGGCCCGTGTCTCGAGACTGTGGGTGTTGAGCTGCTGGGCTTCCAGGGTCGGAGAGGGGTTCTTCTGTGGTCCGGGTCTTCTAGGCCGCAAGTGAGGGGGTCGTTGGGGGAATTAGATGTCGAGGAGCTTGCTGCGGGAGGCCTGGAGCCCAGACACGGCCAGGCCCGGGCTGGAGCAGGGCTGGTCCGGGGCAGAGCTGAGGGACAGACAGAGACAAGAGACAGCGAGAGGGAGGGGGCAGTGGGGGGAGACACAAGCCCCCTACCTAGCAAATCGTGGGAAGCTGGGGGGCAAGGCCAGCCGCCAATCAGCCGGGGCCCAGGTGCGGAGCAGGTCTCCGTGTGCTCTAGAGCAAGCCCCCATTATGGGGGAGGACGTCAGCGACAGCTTCCTGCAGGCCAGGGCCCGCGGCTCTCACCTCCCACACCTGCAAGGAGGGTCAGCCACCCCCATGTCACTGGTGGGGAAACTGAGCCTCAGAAACTGCACAGCTACCTGGAGGCAGGGCCAGGACTCGCCCCGGGTCTGCAAGACGTTTGTCCACCGACTACGTTACCCACAGCCCCCCAGCCGAAACTGTGTGACTTCCCCAACCCCCCAACCCGAAAGCACACTCGAGCCCTGCCCCTCCCCACAGCCGGCCCCAAGGATGTTTTTCTTCTCTCCTCCCTGGTGTTTGGGTTTTGGCAGGAACCGGCCTGCTGGAGTGGCGGTCCCTGCCGGCAGGGTCGGCCCAGGGCGGGGAGGGGCCAGGCGCCACCTCCATCGCTGCCCTAAAGCAGGGACCCAGGCAGGTCCCGTGCTGCGCCCCCTGGGGCTCGGCTTCCCCCCATGGAAAGTGGGGCCCTGCGGGTGGCGGCCTCGAGGCCCGGGACGCATCGCCAGCCGTGGCCAAGGGGGCTTCCCACGGCCCCGCCAGGGCCCCACCGCCTGCCCGCATTAAACATTGCTGGAGGCTGGCGGCGCTGCCCGGGGCCTCCCAGCTGGGGACAGAGTTGGCCGCAGAGGCCCCAACCCGAGTCGGGGCGGGCAGGGTGCAGCCAGGGCCGGCGGGGAGGGCGGCGCAAGGGGGCACTGGAGAGGAGGGTGCTCAGATGGGACCTCAGGCACAGCGAGGGAAAGGAAATACAGGGATGGGACCCCATCAAGGTTAAAATTTCTTCCTCCAAGGACGCTCACAAGTGCAAAGACAGCCCGCGGAGTGGGAGGAAATACTTGCAAATCATGATCTGACAAGGGATTCACGTGCAGCACAGATAAAGAATCAATAACGGAAAGAGACATAACCCGATGAAAACCAAGCAAAGGGTTTGAGTGGACATTTCTGCAAAGGGACGCGTGGCCCATAGGCGCCTGCGAAGTTCAGGGGACCAGTGAGACCAGGGCCCCGCCCACGCGGCAGGCCGCCCACCCAAGAGGGCAGACAGAGGCGCCGATGAGGACGCGGGGACTGGAACCCACGCCCCTGCCCAGCCGCCGCCCAGTGTGCGGCCAAGCGGAACACTGTCTGGCGGCAACTCAGTCAGGTGAACCCAGGACGACCCCGTGACCGGCAGTCCCTCTCCTGGGGCCAGACCTGGAGATCTGAAAACAGGCGTGCACGCCAAAACCTGTACACGGTGCTCACGGCAGCACGGCTGACACTCGCCAAGGGGGTGGCAACCCAAGTGTCCCTGGCAGAACAGACACAAAGGCCACATGGCGCACGATCCCATTTATACGAAACGTCCAGAACAGGCAAAGCACAGACAGAAGCACGTGGGTGGGTGCCGGGGCTGGGGAGGCGGGCGGGGAGGGGGATGATGGAAATGTTCCAGAACTAGGTAGAGATGGTTGCACAACATGCACAAGATGAATGCACTAAATGCCACCGAATTGTTTACTGTAAAGGGGTGAATTGCATGGTAAGTGAATATATCTTTTAAAAAAAGAGAAGGGACAGGCGAGGGTGCAGAAGTGGGGCAGGCGTGCCCGTGTCATGCCCTGCAGTGCACTGGCTCAGGGGCGGGGGCAGAGGCAGAGAAAACAGCTCTTTCTGACCAAACCCAGAGGCTGCTGGACAGACAGAGGGGGAAGGTATCCGGGGAGATAAACTGAGGCAGCCTGCCTCCCGGATGGAGACATGCTTCCCACTTCTTGGTGGGAGCTGGGGTGAAGAGGAGTCAGACCAGGAGAGCTAGAGATGGGGGTGTGGGAGGGGGGCGGCGAGGGCTCTGGAGAGGCCGCCAGACTGGGACCCTACTGCCACCCGGGCTGCGGCACCCGCGCAGGCTGAGCCGCAGCAGGAAGCATCTGTGAACAGCTCACGCCAGGCCCGGCTCTCCGGCTCCATGACAGCGCCCCCTGCAGCGGGAGAACAGACCCATAGGCCCCCAGCCCCCGTGGGCTTGACTCCATCCCCCGTCACCCACTCCGCAGCAACCGCACCTGCCTCTCTTCACAGTCTTGGCCCGAGCACCACCTCTTCCAGGAAGCCCTCCCTCACCCACTGTTCTTCACGCTTTCACTTGTCACTCTCCCAGGTTTATCTGTGGGATGGTTGGATTAGCGTCTGCCTTCCCCACCCGACCAGAAGCCCCTCATGATGGGACCGATCCTGACCTGTGTGGGACTGGGCTTGGTATACAGTAGGTGCTCAACGCTGACCTTCCGAATCAATGAATGAACGAAGCTGTGAAACGGAGACTACCACAGTCTGAACTCCTGGAGCTGTGGGGAGCAGCTGAGGGACTGCCGCTCAGAGGAGCCCCAAATACTGAGTACACAGCAGGAGCTCAGTATCACTGGCCCAGAGCTCTGCTAAGCAGGACTGCTCAACCCATGAGGTAGGGACCCAACCAGTGCTCTGAACTTTTTCTTTTACATATGGGCAAGCGGAAGCCCAGAGAGGAACTCCTGTGGGTCATTTCCTGGCAGCAGAAACAGAACTCAAAGTGGCTTCAACAAAAAGGAATCTGATGAAAAAGAAAATCCCAGGTGGTGGGCTTCAGGCATGGCTGCATCCAGGGACTAGGGCTCCTTTTCTCTGTACTGGTGTCCTCCCTGCAGCTTCTCTCCAGGCAGGCTCAGTCTTCTCCCAGTAGAAACAGGGTGCCCATTTTCCCCACTCACTTCAGCAGCACCCCAAGCCCTGCTCAGTGAAGGCCTAACTCCAACCCCTTGACCAGAGGGCTGTGCCTGGAGGTACGTTTTCGAACAACTCCAGGGGCCACCAAACAGAGTCCTGTGCTACTTAGTGGGCCCAAGACAGCCTGCATGGGGGTATTTAGCTCCCCGGAGGCTCCGCTGTGAGGGGGGTCGGGGGGGGGGGGCATCTGGAATTGAGGGGGGAGCTCTGAGCCCCAGGGCTGAGGTCATTCCGGTCCTTCTCGGGAGGCCGCTGACCCTGCATCCCTACTGTCTGTCCACTTGGCCCTGCCGCTGTCCAGGCCTCCTCCAAGGGCTGGAGCCCAGCCGAAAGGATGCGGAGAGCGATCTTCAAGGGAGGGCACGCCGGATGGCAGCGTCAGCAAACGCTTGAGCAAACGCGAGGAGGTGGCAACTCCAAGAGAGGAGCATTTGCGGAGCAGCCAGCCCCGCGGCAGCTAAAGCACCTGGGCCATGGCCTCAGTTTCCCCACCTGGAAGCAGAGGGCAAACGGAGGCTCCCCAAGCGGCGGGGCCGGGACCACTGCCCCCTGGCCTTGTCGGCTGCCAGACCTCCCTCACCCAGAGGCCTGTCTCTTTTGCCACAAAATTCAGCATCTCTTGGTTTCAATCTCAGCCTCTCCCCCTCCCCCTGCCCTCGTCGAAAACCGGAAAAGTCTGTTTTGCAAACTCCGTGGGAGGCGGAAGGGGCGCGGGGCTGCCTGGGAGAGGCGCGCCGCTGCCGCCCCCTGGTGGCCGTGGGGGAACGCGCGGCAACTCGCTTAAGGACGGGGCCGGGCGCGCGGGGCGGGGCCGGGGGCGCGGAGGTGGGGCCTGGGGCGGGGCGGCGCGCGGGGCGGGGCCGGCGCGGGGCTCGGGGCGGGGCTCGCGTCCAGCAGTGGAGCGCCGAAGGACCCCCCAGGTCCTGGCCTGAGCCCCGGGGGCAGGGCGGCGGGCCCCCAGGAGGGGCGAGGCTGGGGGACAACCGAGGCTCCCGGTGCGGGGTCTGGACGCCGCAGCGTCCCCAGGGCCCGCCCGCTCTGCCCCCGCACTGGGTGCTCCCGCGCTCAGAGGGCGAGCCTGATAAATGTGGGAGGGAGGGAGGGAGGGAGCTCTCCACGGGGGCGTTGGGCGCAGGCCTCCAGGCCTCGGGCCTCGGTGGACGGCCACCCACAGGCCCGTTCATTAGGCCTCAGCGCCCCCCGCAGCTCTGCGAGCTTAACATGATCACTCCCCCCCACAGCCGTTTGACAGGGAAGGAGACTGAGGCCGGAGAGGGGCCATCGCCTCCCCCAGAACGGTCAGAGCACCCCTCCTTTCAACACACCTAGATCCTCCGAGGCTGGAGACCCTGCGGTGCAGCCCGGAGCTCGGCACCCAGACTCCCCATCCAGTGCTCCTGGGACCAGACGTCCGGGCCAGGACCCTAGGATCAGCATGAGCCCCCTATGGGCCCCCCGCTAGGTTATTCCCCCCAAACAGGCCAATGACAGCGCCCGTCCCAGCCCCATGGATGTCAGGCCTGGGCCCGGGTGTAGCAGTGTCCGTTTCTTGGTGGTTTCTAGGGTTTCCACCACAGGACATGTCACAACAGGTGCTGGACAGAGTAGGTGGGAGGAGGAGGGTCAGTGGCACCAGAGGCAAGGGGTGAAAATGGGATTAAGGTCACTTGGCCCGGCTTTGACTCCTGTCCGTGCTGTGTGGCTTTAGGCTAGGCGCTTGCCCTCTCTGAGCCTCAGTGGTCACCTCTGTAAAACAGAACAGCCACGACCTCTCAAGGTAGTGATGGGGATTCAGCACATCCCGCGAGTGTCTGGATGGGACAGGCTGGGGATGCAAGGAGCACTTAGCCAGCCGTCTTGATTGTGATCACGGGTCTTTCTGACCGCCAGATGAGGTGCAAGCTCGCGTTTCTCCCTCAGGCCTCCAGGCCCGGGTGCCCAGGGTCACGGAACCTGGGGCTCTGCATTCGATCTCCCAGGAGCAGAAGGAGTCCAGCCGCCTGGGCACGGCTGCCCTCCAGACCGTCCTGCCCGCCAGGCCCCGGGGCGGCGGCCTCCAGGTGTTCTTGCACCTGTCTGCCGTCCTCCGAGGGCAGCTCCGTGTCCAGGGCCGGCTCAGGAGCACCCCGAGGCGGCTTCGGCTTCTCCTCAAGAGGCTCAGGTGTGTCCAGGTCGGTCTCCTCGTGTTTGTCGCAGGGCATGCTCACCACCAGGACCTTTTCTGGGGACGACTCCTCCGGGAAGTCTGCCGGGCTGATCCACTGCCAAGCCTGGAGAAGGAGAACGGCTGAGGCTGTGGGCAGGGCCCTATGTCCCACCCACACAAGGAGGGCGTGGGCCAGGCCCCTGCTGGCTAAATTCTCTCAAGCCCTGAGACCAAGTGGAGGATCAATCGGAAGGGTCCCCACTGCTCTCTGAGAAATCGGCCTCCTCTTCTCCCAGTTGATGTGGTTGGGCAGGGCAGTGGCCCCACCCCAGCTCTTAGCCGGGAATGTGATCCTGGCCCAGCCAATCAGAGCAGCCAGCCCCCTGGTTCCGGGGACAGGCTCCGCGATGGGCATGTGACCCAGGGGCATGCCCCTGAGACTTCTGCTCCAGTGAATGGGGAAAATGGACACTCTGCTTCCACCAAGGGAAGGCTGAGACCCGGCCAGCAGCACAGAGAGATGGAGCCCTAGGCCCTGCATCCAGCCATGCCTGAAGCCCACCACCCTGGGATTTTGTTTGTTTGTTTGTTAATCAGGTTCCCTTTCTGTTGAAGCCACTTTGAATCTGTTTCCACTGCTAGCAAATGACCCACAGGAGGTCCCTCTCTGGGCCTCTGCTTGCCCATCTGCAAAATAGGGCAGGTGTCTGGAGGCCCTGCCTCAGTGGGTTGGGGGAGAACAAAATGAGCTACTGCGTGGCCATCACTCAGCAAAGCCCTGGCCCCGAGTATGGACCCAACAAACAGAACCCGGAATTAGAAAAGGAGACCTTACCTGCTTCCCCTGGCTGTGAGGGAGCTCGACAGCGGTGCTGGCACAGGGCGTGGGCAGGGGCGGGCACAGGTGCCGGATGGCCCTGGGGATGGAGGGGAGCCGGTCAGAGGAGCGGTGCTTCTGTATGTTCTCGCAATCCTTCTCTTTTTGCTGAGGATGACTGGCCCTGAGCTAACATCCATGCCCATCTTCCTCTACTTTATACGTGGGACGCCTACCACAGCATGGCTTGCCAAGTGGTGCCATGTCTGCACCCTGGATCTGAACCAGCGAACCCCGGGCCACCAAAGCGGAGTGTGTGAACTTAACCGCTGTGCCACCGGGCTGGCCCCTGTTCTTGCTTTTCTATTGTCCTGACTTGTTTCATGTCTATTAGGCTATAAAGGGAGTGAGGATATGAGCTGGGGGAGCCGGTGCGGGAACTTGACAGACCCGAGTTTGAATCCTGGCTCTGCCCCACTGCTGGGCGCCTTAGCCTGCCCACCTGGGCCTGTTTTACCATCTGTGAAGTGGGCACAAACATCTAACTGGTGTGAATGGCACTACCATCACTCTCATGGCTCCTGCGGGGGCGGGGGGGTCACCTGCTCAGGCCGAGGTACCCCAGGGTGCCCAGGAGAAGGACGCTCACGAAGCTCCCCAGAGACACGAGGACGACGGACAACTCGGAAACCTGAGCTTCTGCGGGTGAGGGTGAGAGAGCTTGCTGGAGGGGCCCCTCCGCCTCCCCGGGGAGGGAGCTGGGAGGCTGGCCCCATCGCCTGCCCCGCTGCCACCCCTGGCAGCCAGGGCCCCTCCCAGCCTCTGTTTCCTGGTCTGTGAAGTGGGAGGGCAGGGACCCCCGCCCGTGACTGGGATCCAGGCCTGGCGCGCAGGCGGTGCTCGGGCCCTGCGGCTCCAGCTCCTGCATGTGGACCCAGGCGGCCCTGGACCCAGACCTCCCGCCCGCGGAGCCTGAAGCCCTGGTCCTCTCGGGGTCGGATTTCACTGCGAGGATGACAGGCAGCGACGTTGGCAGGGAGAAGATGATTTGGTCTTCAAATCTCTCATGGCCACACACCTCAAGACAGCGGGACCCACATCCTTATCTTTGTGATGGTGAAGGGAGTCATCTAGACTTATTCATTCATTCACTCAATAAACAGCCCTCCTGCTCCTTCCTCCTCAGGACCCCCCAGCTAGGGGAGGCACAGGCCCCCCCACCCACTCCCAAGGTGTCACTCTTGGGAGGAGAGTCAGTCACGGGGCGGGGGCGGGGGGGGGCGGTGCCCAGAGGAAAGCATGGAGGGCTTCCTAAAGAGGGGGCTTTTGAGGCACAGGACATGCATGCGCAAGGCCTCAGGAGTGTGAGAGAAGGTTCCAGAAGAGAAGCTGCAGGAGACAAGACCAGGGAAGGAGGAGGAAGAGGTCCGGCTGGAACTTTCTCGACGGCGATGCACGGGGAGGCACGGAGGAAGGACCGAGGGGCAGGGCGGGGCTGCTCGCGGACTCGGGGGAGGCCAGGGCCGGGGGAGCCCGCGGGGCCCCACTCACCGACGCTGAAGCGCTGGGGCGGGCTCCAGGCGCCGCGCCGCGTCTCCGTGTCCGCGCGCACCTGCACCGTGTAGGCGGCGCCGGCGCGCAGGCCGCCCAGGGTGGCCCGGGTCTCCGTGGGCTTCACGGGCAGCTCTGCGGGACGGAGGCAGCCACGGGTCACGGACCCCGGGCTCCCCGGAGGCCAGCCGAGCCCCCTGGGGGCCGGGGCTCGTGGACGTTCTGCTGAAAGCCCTTCCTAGGGCAGCCGCTCCCCGCAAGCTTATTTGGAGGAATCGGCTTCATGCAAATATTCCGTGAGTGATGCTGATTTTCTCAGTTCTGCCCCTCTCGCTCCACCCGCTGCAGGCTCGGTCCCCTCCAGACGCTTCCGCCGCCTCCTCTCTGCTCCCGGCAGGCGCAGGCTCAGCCCCACGGCAGGGCCTTTGCACTGCCGGCCCTCCCTTTCCCCAGATGCCCCAGGGGCTCCTGCGTCACCTCCTTCCCGGCTCTAGGGTCAAGGTCAGCGTGAACTGTCTATCCTGCTCCCCCGGTAGCCCAGCATCTCGGCGCACAGGAGGACCTCAGTAAGTGCTCGTGGGATGGGGAGACGGGGACAAATAACGCCCCTCGTAAAAACCCTTTCCAATGAGAATGCAGTTGTTGGCTGTCATCAGAAAGAAAAAATTCCTAGAGCTCTAAATCCATATTGTTTTTTGTCTATATTCAAGAGGAATATTCCTCCAAAGAAATTGGGGGGAAATTGGTGAATTTCGCTGAATGGTCATTTGGCGCATTAATCTTCAGCAATCCGACCTTTGGTAAATCGGTTTCCGCAGATGCGCTGCTCCTGGCGGGGGCTGCGGGAGGCGGTGGGGAGGCCGCGCGGTCCCGGGGGTGGAGCCCGCGGGGAAACCCCGCCCCCCCCGCCCAGCCCTTCAAGCTTCTTTCCCTCTGAAGGGGCGGGAAGGGGCACATGTCTGAGCTCAGACAGGCTTGCTTAACCTTTGGGCAGGTGACTCTCTCTCCAGCCTCGGTTTCTCCATCTTGGAATGGAGACAGCCGTCTCCACGCCACGGGAGTCGAGTTGCTGAGACACATAACAGACTGCCATCCATGCAGCCGGGGAGTTGCCAGCCCCCAGCCAATGCCCACCAGGCCCTCTCGGGGGGCTCTGGAAGGAGCCAGCAGTCAAGACCCTTGAGTCCAACTGTCTTGTTTTATCGGTGGGAAAACCAAGGCCCAGAGAGGGGCAGCGAGGTGCCCAGGTCACACAGCAAGGTGGCACTCAAGCCCCGAGCTCTTCCTCCCCAGCCTGGCCCGGCCTGCATAGCCTCACATACCTGAGCCCGGGCCGCTGCCCTCTTCCCAGCAGCGCACGACATACTCCTTCAGGACGCCGGGGCAGGTGCTCAGCAGGGACGGCGTCCAGGCCACAGACACCGAGTCCCGGCCCAGCTGCTTCACCGACACGCGCTGTGGGCTCCCAGCCCCCGAGGCTGCAACCGACACCCCTGCCCAGTCACCCCAAGATCCCGCCCAGCGCTACCTGCGAGCCCCACCCAGCACCACCCCAGACCCGGGACCTTGGCTCCAGCACTCAGGCGCTCACTGCCCGGCTCGGAGCCTCAGTCTCCTTTCCTGTAAAATGGGGCGGTGTCGCTCGGGGGTCCTAGGAGTCGACTGAGCGCAACACACAGTAGGTGCCTCTGACTACTCATTCTCTCCTCCTGACACCCAAGGCCACTGCCCAGGCCTCCAGGAGACCACCCTGGAGACCACCTACAGGATTGGACAGCTCACCATTGCCTCCAAAGTGGTAAGTGGACAAGACTGTGGACCATGAGGTGGGCTTCTCTGGGCGCTCAGAGGCAAAGATGGTGATGTGGTAACATGCCCTCTGTGCCATCACTGCAGACGCCCAGCTCCAGCTGTGGGTTGCTGGAAGAATGACCAAGGACCAGGTCAGTCAGCAGATTGTGTTTCTGCCTCCGCGCCTTTGCACTGGCTGTGCCATCCACCAGGAACTCCAAGAGCACTCCTACTCATGCTTCAAAGCCCTTGCACCAACGTCCCCTCCTCCAGTATCCCTTCCCTATGCCTCCCTCCAACTGTCCCCACCCCTCCAGCCCAGCTTTCACTCCCTGAGGCCAGGGGCGGCTGTATCCAGCTTTGCCATCCCGGGCTGGGAGCTCCTCAAGGGCCAGGATGACGCTGAGGCTTCCGGGGCCCTGGTGGCCAGGCTCAGGGTAGGAAGTGGCAGAGTGAGAGGGTGCCTGGGCCATATAGCCCCCTTCCCTCCAGAGGCCTCATTAATTTGCCACCAGCATCTTCCAGCTGCCACCTTCTCGGGCGTGGGCGAGCGTTCAACAAACACTCATTGCCTGCGGGGTGCAGCCTGCCCGGGGCTGAGCCCTGACACCCCGGGGTCCTGGCAGGGGCTCTAGACCCGCACGGGTGGCAGAGCCCAAGTCTCGGCCTGTCTCCACTCCCGTGTGGCCTCAAGCAAGTGGCAAGAGCTCTGTGGGTCTCAAACACCCCCTGTATCCGGCCCCCGTAGGTCTGAGCCAACCGGGAGCTCTGATGGAGGGCGCAGAGGCAGAGGCAGGACAACCGACATGACGTACCCATTTCAGCGGGGTCCTGGTCCTGGGGTGCAGTCAGGGTGCAGGTGGCGAGGCTCCCATCCTGGCCCTGGGGCTGCCACTCAATGCAGTATGTCGTGCCCTGGGCCCGGGCTGGCCAGCGCAGGGTGGTCCCATGGGCTCCGGCGCTGATACTCAGAGCCCCCGGTTCTGGAAAAGACGAGGAGGGACATCACGGCAGCGGCCTCGCCGCGGGCCGGGAGCCGCAGGGTCTGCCTCGGTCTCCCCACACGGCCGGGCACGGTGGGGACGCCAGGGGCTGTCTCAATGAACAGAGCCCTTCTCAGCTGACCGTGGGTTCCTGCCAGGATGCCCACCACCATTGATCCTCAGATGGCCCTGACTGCCCCCGCCAGCATGGGGGGGCGTCTCCCCTCCAGCACATACGGGCCCCCCACCACTCGCCTCGCCCAGCGGTGGGTGGGTGTGGCGCAGGATGGCCCTGACCAGAGCTCGGAGGCCTGAGGACACACCCACTTAGTCCCCGGGGCTCATCTCTCCCACTCCCTACAGCAAGGGTGCCTGCAACAACCTCAGGGAGGCAAGTACTGCTTCCCGTTCTGGGGACCACGACTACCACTTATTGAGCACTGACTATGCACCAGGCCGATGCCACTTTGCTATGATCACCTCAATGATACAGAAACTGAGGCTCAGAGAGGGAGAGCCACTGCCCCAAGGTCACACAGCAAGGCCATGGCCCAAACTAGACAAGGAGCTAACAGGCTCGCTGCTGTGCCACCCTGGCAAGTGGCTTCACCTGTCTGAGCATTGGTTGTCTCATCTCTGAAATGGGCATCCTCGTAGTAGCCCCGCCCTCACAAGGATGCTGGGTGCTCAGCAGGGCCAGGACCAGGGCGAGGTGAGCGAGGTGGGCAGCAGACCCAAAGTGTAAGGAGACTCCAAAGGACATGGTCATAAACAGTCATAAACACCATTTTAAGGCAATATTTTTAAAAAATCAAAATGAATTAAAAAATATGTAATGAGCACTGTTCACAATTGTCAAAAGGTGGAAACAGCCCAAATGTCTGTCTGTGGATAAAGAAAGAAAGTGTGGTCCATCCACACAAGGGACTAGTACTCAGTCATAACAAGCACCGAGGCCCTGACATGTGCTACAGCGTGGAAGGACCTAGAAAGCCTCACGCCAAGTGAGGGAAGCCAGACGCGAAAGGCCACACAGTACGATCCCATTTACAGGAAACGTCCAGCACGGGCACATCCACAGAGACAGACAGCAGAGGAGTGGCGGCCAGGGGCTGGGGAAGGGGACAGGGAGGGAGTGCTCATGGGAATGGGGTCTCCTTTACTGTGATGGAATGTTCTGGAATTAGAGGTGATCGTCACACAACATTGTGAATGCACTAAACGTCCCTGAATTGTTAATTTTGCTATGTGCATTTCGCTTCAATAAAATATATATGTGTATATACGTACATATATACATAAATATGTCTTGATTTTTCCATTATATAAAAAGTATATGTATGTTTAATATATGAATATATATAAAGTGAGCAAAACACCAAGATTTTAAATGAAGATAGGGTCAGTCCTGTCCTTGCACGGTGCTGCCTCGCTCACCACACCCTGATCCCGGCCCTGGTCCCGACACAACTTCACTTACAGAAACCAGCGGCCTGCGCGGCGGCGGCTCGCAACCCGAACCTGCTAGAAGCCCGCGCTGCCCCCCGCGCGCGCGATCCCGCACCTGGGCGCTCGGCCGCCGGGATGTGCCACGTGCGGTTGGGGCCGTGGCCGAGGCGGGTCCGGGAGACGACGGCCAGGTCGTAGGCGGCGCCCGACAGCAGGAGCGTGCGCGGCAGGCGGAGCGTCCTGGCGGCGTGGGGCTGGCACGGGCAGGACAGCATGCGCAGGCGGACGCGGTAGGCGACCTGCACGCCCGCCGCCGGCCCGCGGCAGCCTTCCGGGAGCTCGAGCGGCGGCGGCTGCGGGGGCGGGAGCGCGGGGCCCTGAGCGCCGACCCCAGGGCGCGGTGGCCGCGTGCCCCCGGGCGCGTAAGGGATAACCGGCCTGCACGGTGGCGAGGCTGCTGGGAAACCGCGTTCACAGGCAGGGCCCTCGGGTTTGAGGAAGGAGTCGTTTGGCAAAACCCCCGGGGAGCCAGCCAAAAAAATGTTTTCATCTTTGGACCCGGTCACCTGAAGCCAGGAAACTTCTAAGAAAAGGAGTTCAAAGCAGAGGAAACCCAGGCAGCAAAGGGGCTTGTCTGCGCCTTATGGTGACAGCCCACCCGGGACCTAGCCCAGTCAATGGGGGTGAAGCCAATGCATGAAATACTGGGGGGTTGTGCCCCTGATTCTGGCAAGAGGCTTCTCCCTCTGTGCCTGTTTCCTTCCCTGTAAAATGGGGGTTAATTAGACTGCCCTTAATTGGTTAGGGGACTTCAAAGAAATTATCTCCCATTCAGACCTACGCGGTCACCTCCTTCCTGGCCTCCCAGCTTCCACCCGAGCCCCCCACCATCTGTTCCCCTGAAGGCAGCCAGAGGGAACCTGTGGACACCTGAGTCCAACCCTGTTCCTCCTCTGCTCACACACCCTCCATGGCTCCCCATTACCTTCAGAGGTAAACTCACAGTCTGCCCAGTCCTCGCCACCTCCACATCTCATCTCCCTCCATCTCCCACTTGTACACCCCCACTCCAGCCTCGTCTCCTCCTCCCTGCCAGGAAGGTCACCCCACAGCCCTGTGACACCCCGTTACCTGCCCCTCCAGGGTCACCTGCCTCCTCCCATCGTGGCCAAGCTGCTTCACTGAGAACCTCACCTCGGGCTCGGGGGGGTTTTCTGCAATGAGACAGCAAGACAGTGACACGGGGGGTGCCCTTCCTCGGCCTCCTCACAGCCGGAGGGGGGCCCAGGACCCTGCCCTTCTCTCCCCTGAGACACAGTGTTCCCCTGCCTTGTTAAATAGTTTCCAAATCTGAGAACTCGGAGATTCATTCCTCAGCAGCGTGAATGCGCTCGGCGTTACTGACCTGGACACTTAAAACGGTTAAAATGGTACTTCTTATGTTGTGTGTATTTTTACCACATTTAAAAAATCTAAAAACATCTCTTGGAGTTGTTTCCCAGCAAACATGCACTTGGGCAGGAGAACGCCAGCCTCCCTGCCCCGCCCCCCCGCCCTCCTGCAGCGCCACGTCTCCCCGACGACACAGCCACTTTCGCCTCCTTTAAAAGAGGCCTCCTTTGAAAGCTGACCACACGAACTGGAAGGAGAGACAGACTGAGAAACGTTTTCTCTTTAGATTACGGATTGGTCACATTTTACAAACTGGCACTCACTCTCTGCCCTGCCTCCTTGCATGAATTTTCCCTAATGTCTCCCATCACCTAATTTCTAACACTCGTCGCCTGATTTCTATACCCACTGCCGTGTTTCTGACGCCCAGCCCTGTTTCTGTGCTTCAGTTGTTCTCACCAGGGGGAACGCACACAGGGCTGCTCCAGCTGCTCCAGAGACCTCCCGGGGCCTCTGGCCTGCGCCGCCGCCGAAGCTGGAATTCCTGGACCGCATCGGTCTCCAGGGGGCAGAGGCACGATTCTGGGGAGAAACAGGTCAAACATCAGGCCGAGGGGCTGTCCCACACCTGGGGGTGTCTGGGGCTTGGCACAGCTCACTTAGTCACCGTGAACTTATTGAGTGCCAACTGTATACATGCCTTTATTGAGTGCCAACTGTGTACACACACTTATTGAGAGTCAACTGTGTGCCGGGCCCTGGGGACATGGCAGAAACAGGCCACACCCTGTCCTCCTGGGGCCTTGAGGATCACCCGCTTCGTCACCTGTCCCAGGTTCAAGTCCCAGCAAGGCCACCCCTTGGGATGTGACCTTGGCCAATGGCTTCTCACCCCCAAGCCTTTGTTTCCTCACCTGTGAAATGGGCATAATCCAATACTGAACTACAGGGCGGAGCAACAAAGATACAAAGAATTTAGCACTGGGCCTGGCACACAGTAGGTGCTCAATTAATGCTAACTTGCTGCAGCTGTTGTTACTATTCTTATTCTCACCGAAGCCAGCGTCATCCTGCAGTCCGCAGTCGCCCTAGGACAAGACCATATTTATGTACTGTTTACATTTGCTGTTGAAAAATCTTAGCTCTTTTGAAATTTTAAACAGTGATTCTGCCAAATGTGACGTGGGACCTCAAACTGGACCCAGGAGCAGAGAGAGGACATTCTTGGAAAAACTGGTGGCAGCCAGATAAGCTCCAGAGTTCAGTTCCTGGCAGTGTCCCCATGCTTATCCCATCGTCGGGACAAACACCCCCGGCGGGCAGGACAGTAACAGAAAGGACGGCGCTGCAGGTGCTCTCTGCGCTTCTTTGTAACTTTTCTGAAAATCTCAGATTATCCCAAAATTAAACGCTTATTCGAAAGATTACTTTTGTTGGGGCCGGCCCAGTGTCGCAGCGGTTAAGTGCACGCGTTCTGCTTTGGTGGCCCGGGGTTCGCCGGTTTGGATCCCGGGTGCGGACATGGCACCGCTTGGCAAGCCATGCTGTGGTAGGCGTCCCACATATAAAGTAGAGGAAGATGGGCACGGACGTTAGCTCAGGGCTAGTCTTCCTCAGCAAAAAGAGGAGGATTGGCAGATGTTAGCTCAGGGCTAATCTTCCTCAAAAAAAAAAAAAAAGTTATGTTTGGAAGCAAAATTATTTTATAAGTTTCTTTAAAATGACTTTAGAGGGCAAAAGCTGTCTGCTGTGTTAGGGGTCAGGAGAGCCAGGACCCAGCCTGCCCTCTGGTCCTTGTGTGACCCTGAGAGGCACCCGCCTCCTGAGCCTCAGCTTCCTCATCTGGCAGGGGGCTGAGAGGGCCTCGTGCAGAGTGTAGACCAGCTTAGGGGCTGGAAATAAAACAGAGGGAAGCCACTTCCCGTCAGGGGCCCCATGTCACCTGCCTCCTATGATCAGCACCCCTTCACCAGATGGGGAAATTGAGGCTCAGGGAGGGGCACATTTGGAGGGAAGACGGGGCCGAAGCTGAGGCGGCTCCCTGCCCTCAAGATGCTCCCAGTCTGGGGGAGGAGACTGGCCACGATCAGAGGCTGGTGCTCTCTGGCTCCCTGGAACCGGGGCTTCCTGGGGACTGGGTCGGGGCTGGGGTCTCTGGCAGGCCCAGGATCGCCCTGCCTGGAGGAACAGCAGGGGGTGACAGAGAAAGCGAAAGAATGAAGGAAGGTCCAAAGATGTACAGATGGCCACCAGGCTTGTGGAAAGACGCTCAGGGCCACTGATCGTCAGGGAACACCAATCAAAACCATGATGAGATGCCGCCTCACACCTGTCAGAATGGCTGTCAGAAGGCAGGAGAGGACGCGCTGGCAAGGATGTGGAGAAAAGGGACACCTGGGCACTCTCAGGGGAACGGAAACTGGGGTAGCCACTGTGGAAACCAGGATGGAGGTTCCTCAAAAAACTGAAAATAGAACCACAATATGATCCAGCAATTCTACTTCTGGGTGTTTCTCTGAAGGAAATGAAAAACACTAACTCGAAGAGATATGTGCACCCCATGTTCACAGCAGCATTAGTCACAAGAGCTGAGATGGGGAAACAGCCTGAGTGCCCATCGATGGAGGAACGGATAAAGAAGGTGTGGTATATATACGCAATGGAATACTACTCAGCCATGAAAAAGGAGGAGCTCTTGCCATCTGTGACAACATGGATGGACCCTGAGGGCATTATGCTAAGTGATATAAGTCAGACAGAGAAAGAGAAATACCATATCATCTCACTTATATGTGGAATCTAAAAAACAAAACAGACAAAAATTCAAACTCAAAGATACAGAGAACAGATTGGTGTCTGCCAGAGGTGGAGGGTGTGGGTGGGTGAAGGGGGTGAAGGGTCAAAAGGTACAAACTTCCCTTGGAAGTCTAGGTCAGTCCTGGGGATGTGAGGTGCAGCGTGGGGACTGCAGTTAATGACACTGTACTGCATATTTGAAAATTGCTAAGAGAGTAGGTCTTAAAGTTCTCATCACAGGGAAACAGAATCTGCACTGCGTCCAGTGATGGATGGTACCTAGACTTATGCCAGTGACCGTGTCACACTACACAAACATTGAATCATCATGCTGTCCGCCTGAAACTACTCGAACATCATGTGTCGATCATACCTCAATAAGCAAAATGCAGGAATGGAGGAAGAAAGGAAGGAGCGGGTGGAAGGGCAGCTTCCTGGAAGAGGAGGCCCCAGACCGGAGCCCTGAAGGTGAGCCGGACTGGCCTCTGCTCTGGTGGAGGGAACTGCATGTGCAAAGGCAGGGAGGCTGGAAACCCAGGGCACAGGCAGAGAACAACGGCCACTCAGGAGGCGGCCGGTGGAGCCACGAGGCGGGGGAGGGAGCTGGGGCCAGCTGAGGATGAGGATGCTCTCCCCGGGGCAACGGGGAACCAAGGAGGTCGTGATGAGATCTGAGTGTCAGAGACCCCCGAGGTTGGACGTGGGCAAGAGTGGAGGCCGGGCGGGAGGGGTGACAGATGTAGACATGGGGAGACAGATTTGGGGAGTGAAGGCGTCCTGGGACAGGCCTGTGCACACCGCTGAGCCGGGGGACAAACTCACCAACTTCCACGGGCTGCCAGGCGTCCGGTGCCGGAACTGCACCTCGGCCCCACCCTGGCGGGCGGGCGTCTCCCACTCCATGCGCAGCTGCCCCGCCACCCTGGACACCTTGATGTCTCCTGGTGGAGGGTCGTATTTAACTGGAAGCAGAGACGGGGTTGGAGAGGGAAGCTGGCAGGTGTGTGAATTGTTGGTCCCGAAAATTCCAGAAAATCCACCCGTGCCCCGCCTGCCCCAGGGTCACCAACTACATCCTGCAAATGTGAGTCAGGGACACCCTTGCAGGTCCCACTTAAGCCTGGGGATCTATGGGTCAAAGAGTCAAGATTTACACACAGGATCCTGTTAGTGAAGATAGCTTTAAAATACTAACACCCATTGCTGGCAAGGTTGTGGCGAGACAGTCGCTTTTGTCAATTGCTGACGAGAGGGTAATGAATTGATTCTATTTTCTGGAGGATTTTTAGGGAAATCTCACTATTTTAGACCCACTTCAAGTAGCCTGGCCCAAGGAGAGACATCTGTCTCTCTTTCTGCATCTTGGTCATTTCATGCCACAGAGGGAGGAAGAGTCTACCTCAGGGCCTTTGCGCTTGCTGTGCCCTCTGCCTGGAACATGTTTCTCCACCTTAATTCCTGCTGGATCCTTCTTATCCTTCAGGGCTCATCTTGAGCTGGAGGCCTCCTTGACCCCCCAGTAGTATCTCCCCTTGTGTGATGATCACTCCTTGTTCACCAGCCCCACTTGAATCTGGGCTCCGTGAAGGCAGGGTGGTGTAGGGAGCAGGGAAAGGCAAGTGAGGCAAGGCTGGGCAAACACAGGGTCGATCTTGTCTTTCTTTAAAATGTTGATATTTTATTCATCGAGGATTATTTTTTGCATTAATTTTGATTTTTTTAAAATATTACATTACAGTATTGTCTATATTGACTGCTGAGTTTTTGGCTTCCCCTTAAAATTTTGTGCCCAGGGTGGTGCCTTGCTTGCCTTGCCCTCATCCCAGCCCTGGGCTGCGTGCGACCTCCGTTGGCCTCGCCCATGTCCCCTTTGACTCGCCATGGCACACGGTAGCCGCTCAACGACGATATGCTAGATGAATGTTTTGCGGCATGAAAACAGATGTTAAAGACCCACCAGGGTCCCTGCAGCATGCGGCCTCAGGGCAGAGCCAGAAGCAACCTCCGCGTCCAGCACTCGGGGATTCGGACGGGAACCACGAGAGACCCCCCTGAGTCACGCAACAGTGTCTGGTGCGAGAGCGGCCGGCAGTACCAAGCCTCTCGCCAGGGCCCAGCACCCCCCCCAGGTCTAGGCTGGAGGATGAGAGGCTTCTTGGGTGACGAGGGGACAGCCGGGAGGAGGAGGAGAACAGGGTGCTGACCTGAGCTGTACAGCTGCAGGGTAACCTCAGGCGACTTCTCCGTGCGGTTCGCGGTCCGGGATTCCACCCAGAGCGTGACGTTGTAAAGCACAGATATGCCGTCCTGGTCGGAAAACTGCAGCGTGGTGGCTGAGCCGGCCGCAAAGTAGCAGCAGCGCCCCGGCCTGAGGCTGCAGGAAGGAGGGTGTTGGTGCTGAGTGTGGGGTCCTAGTGGACCCCAGAGTGTCTCGGTGGCCACAGCAGATGGCGTGCATCACGTCTCAGCATCCTTTTCTGTCCTTTTATCCCCCCATCCTTTTATAACCCCTCCCCAGCCTGGGGGTTCCTCAGGGGCAGGGGATCAGCCTGAGACTGAGGTGTTTGGGGACCCCAGAATCTCCCAATATGGGCTGCAACAGAGGGAAGGAAGAAATGAATGGCCCGATGAATGGATGGACAGACGGATGAGTCAGTGACGGGGGAGGGTGAAGGAAGGACTAGAGGGACCCTAATCGCTATAGGGATGCCCACCCAACCGAACCCCCACAGTGCAGAGCCCCACCCTCCCTGCCCACACAAGAAGCTGAGGCTCAGGAAAGAGCAAGGGCCTGGCCAAGGGCACAGGTCTGAGAGCAGGGATGCAGGGGCATGGGCCAGGGGCAGGAGCGCAGGGGCACAGGGGCAGGGGCACAGGGGCAGGGGCACAGGGGAAGGGGCAAGGGGGAGAGGCCTGCAGAATCCTCACCAGCAGCGCAGGAAGTGGCTGACCCCGGCCGCGGGGCCCTCATACCGCCAGGAGCACTCGTAACCAGCGCTGGATGTCCGGTAGCAGTTCAGATCCCTGGGGCCCGAAGTCGAGCCTAGGGGAGATCCCAGAGGTTTGAGAACACACCAGAGTGTGCAGGAGTCTCCATGCTGAGCACCCCTGGGGGAGTCTTTCTGCCACTTATGTAATCCAGTGCCACCTCAGCCTAAAACCGCTGTGGGTCACAGCCCCCTCCCATGCCCTCCGCCCTGTCTCCTGCCATCTGCCCTGCTCACCCTGCTCTGGCCACACCGGCTTCCTCACCAGTCTTCAGACACCTGCTCAGTCCCACCTCAGGACCTTTGCACATGCTGTGCCCTCTGCCTGGAATGCCCTTCCTCTAGATTTTGACATCCCAGTTTCTCCTCTACCAGCCAACCAGAAGCAGCACCTCCCTCTCCACCCTGCCCTGCTCTGCTTCCTCCCAGCACATCACCGTCACTGCAGTGTGTGCATTTGTTTCCCTACTATCCACCTGCTGCACCAGGTTGTGACCCCAGGAGGACAGTTGGGCTCACAGCTGACTCCCTCATGTCTAGAACTGTCTGCACTCATTAGGTGCTCAGTAAGTATTTATTGAGCAGAGGAACAGATGAGGCACCTGCTCTGGGGCTGACCCTTGGTGGGGTACACAACAGCATAAATGTTCCAGCAACACCTGCCTTGGGGGACTTCAGAATCTGTAACAGCTGCTTAGCCCCCCACGCTGACCAAACCAAGCAGACGTGGACACCGGCCCTGCGGCCCTCCTGGGAGGAGATGAGGCGTGCCGCAGAGACGGCTCTGGAACCCCCAGCTCCGTGAGGGCTGGACGCCAGGCTGTCGGGCTGTGCTCTCAAGGCTCCAGGTGGGGCAGGAGGGGGCAGATGGAGGGGCTGCTAGGGTTGGGGCAGTCAGAGCCCAGCACAACCCCCCATCAGTGGGGACCAGCTCCAGACCTGAGTCTGCATCCGGGTATGGCGGGTCCTGGAAACAGCACCCACTGCTGCTGCAGGATCCAGCTGCAAAGGCAACCAGGAGAGTGACGTTCTGGGCCTCTCTCTGCGTGGGGGAGGGACTGGGCCTGGGGGCTCACCAAGTGACCATCCACCTGCCCACCCACCTTCCCATCTATGCATGCACACATCCATCCACCCATCCATCCAACTATCCACCTCCCACCCACCCACCCACCCACCCACTTTCCCATGTACACATCCACCCATGCACCCAACTATCCACCCACCCATCCACCCAGCCACCCACCTTCCCATGTACACATCCACCCATCCACCCACCCACTCACCCATCCATCCACTCATCCACGCACCTTCCCATGTGCACATCCATCCATGTATCCATCCAACTATCCACCCATCCACCTACCCACCCACCATCCCATCTACCCATCCAGCCAGCCAGCCAGCAACTTCTTGGGCTGCTCCTCCAAAGCCCTCAGGGGCTCCCCATCCCCCTCTGATACTGGTCTCCGGGCCTGCCTGATCCCGTGAAACCTTGCAATGTGGCCAGCTAGCTACTCTGAGCCCTCTTCCTGCACTCAATGCAGCCATCTGAAGAGTCAGCACCCTGCTGATGTACAGTTTACAGAGAGGGAGACTGAAGCACAGAGAGGCAAAGATGTGGCCTGAGGTCACAGAGCAGCAACGGCAAACCTGGGATTAGAGTCCAAACCCAGCCATCCCAGGAGGCTGAGCCCCTTCCCATTGATAGCACAAGATAGAGAGAGATTACGTATACGTATATTGTATATACTATATTAATAATATCCTGTTTATACATGTATTATGTGTAGACTTGCTCTCTATCCCTTCCTTAGCTATTTCTCATTGAACTCTGGGAGGTGCAAAAGATTCAAAGATTCAGCCCATTCCACAGAAGCACAGAAGACAAAATCAAGACCAGAGCAGAGACCCCAGAAGCCTTTATCGCCCGTCTCCCATGACACAGGGGACGTCTGAGGCGCAGAGACAGGGAACCCCCCTGGGACCCGCGTGCACGGCCCACCACACACACGCGCCTCCCACCCCCCCAGCAAGAAGAGCTGAGCACAGTGTGGGGGACTCACCACCCCGCTTGGGGAGCAGGAGGAGGAGCACGGGCACCAGCCTGGCCACTGGCTGGCCCATGGGGTCCCCTGGGAGGCCCGCGGCCACAGATGAGCTTCCGCGCGCCAGCGAGGCCCCAGCCACCCTGTCCTTGCGCCGGAACACATTGAAGCTGAACCAGAAAGAAGACTAAAAGGATTAAAAAAAAAAAAAAAAGTTCGATGTTACAGCCCCTCCCAGACCAAGTCAAAGTGAAAGAAAAACCCAGGAAGTGAGCTCCGGCTGGCGGCCTCATCCCGGCCTAACTGAGTGGGCCCCGGGCCCCGGGTCTGCTCTGCTGGCCCCAGACCCAAGTTGGCCCTGGGGGCCTGCCCCACGGGTGACCTGGGCGCTGGCCGGATCTCAGCCGTCGCTGGCCGACTGCTGACCCACAGGAGCTACTGGGTAGCTCACTGTCCTGGGACGTCTGACTTCACTCTGCCAACAAATCGGCCGGAAGCCTTCATTGTAGCCTGGGCCCCTCTGCGTGCCACCTCTCCACTTCCCAGACCCCAGCCCCTTCGCTTCCTTTAGACTCACCTCACTCTTCTCTGTGTCTGTTTCTCAACCTCTGAGAGTCTTGGTTTCTGACCCCCTCTCTCTGCTGTCAACAAAGGCCCAAAATGTCCATGGAGAAGAGCTGACACATGCAACACAGTGGACGAACCTGACACCTCGTGCTGAGTGAGAGAAGCCGGACACGACAGCCCACGCGCTGTGCGATGCCACGTAGGAAACGTCCAGAACAGGCGGATCCACAGAGGCAGGAGCAGATCAGTGGTGGCCAGGGGCTCTGGGAGGGGGATGGGGAGGGGCTGCTCAAGGGGAGGGGCCTCCTTTTGGGGTGATGGAACATTCTAGAACTAGATGGAAGTGGTGGTTGTACAACACTTCATATACTCGATGCCACTGAATTGCACACTTTACAACGGTTAATTCTATGTTACCTGATTTTTACCTAAAAAAAAATGTTCATGGAGCCCAGGGGGACTGAGGAGCAGGCTGAGGGTCAGGGGAGAGCCTCTGGGGAAACTGAGGCCCAGGTGGGCAGGAAGGAAGGCCCTCCTCTGAAGATCCCGATTCTGAGGGGCAGCTGGCCAGCCAGTGTCAGGCGCCCAGTAGGCCATGAGGTCAGAGCCATGGGAACAAAGACGCAGTGTCGCAGGCCTGGCACAGTGGGGACGGGGACCCCGTGACCCGGCACAGAGCAGCCTTCACCAGCAGCGAGGCCCAGGCCGGGGGAGGGGTGGAGACAGGGCCTGAGAAAAACAGAAGGGTGGGAGGGGTAGCTGGCACACTCACAGCCCCTCTCCACCACCCCCAGACCCTACCCCAGGAGACACCGTCACGCGCCCCATTTCACAGATGGAGAAATTGAGCCCACAGGCGCCCAGACCGCTCCGGGCCCTGGCTGGAGGTGAACACGTAGATCCAGACCCTAAGACCGAGTCCCCTAGGGCTGAGCTTGGCCAGGCCCCAGAGCCACCCCGCCCTCCAATCCCCAGAAAGGCCAGCCCTCCGCTTCTCCATCTGAAAAACTGGCTGTGGCGAAGATAAAGGAGGGCTCGTAGGATTAGTTATTGCGGGGACCCCAGTGGCCTCTGCTCTTTTCAGGCCTCTTTCCCATCCCCTCAACATCAGAGCAGCCCCTGGGAGAACAGTGAGGGAGGAAGAGAGGTGAGGGGACTCGCTGGACACAGGCGCCCCCCGCACCTCGGGGTCAGGGCCAGGTGCAGGGAGGGGCAGAAGGTCGGGGTGTTCTGAGGGGAGCAGGGGGTGGCCAGAGAAGCGGGCTCTTGAGCTGGGTTTAGAGAATTCAAGGGCCTTCCTGGCAGAGGGCACAGCAGAGGCTTCTGGGAACACTGAGATGAACAGGGTGGGTCTGGGGCTCCAGGGCAGACGGAGGTGGCGCCGTGGTCGGGGCCTGCAGGGCTGGGCTGAAGGGCTTCCTCCTGAGGGCACTGGGGAGCCACAGCAGTAGCGTGAGCAGGGCCACAGCGACGCAGGAGGTGGCGTTTCCACCGCATCACGGTCACAGTCCGAGCCTGCCCTGAGGTCCCCCCACCCAAGGCCTCCCACGCCCCCTCTCTTGGCCTGCCTACTGCCTACTCCAGGAAGCCCTGCCTGCCAGGCCCTTACTGGCCCCACCCAGCTGCCCCAGAAGCACAGCTGGGGTCCGCCCCCGGCGCTGCCCCACTTTCAGATGCTTCGAAAACTCGAGGAGGGGGAGGCAGGAAGGACTGAGGATTGAGTCGTGTCCCACCTCCCCCCTCCTCGGAAATCATGACAAGTGGAACCGCAGAACTTCCCCACCCCTCAGCTTCCGCCTTCTTGGGGTGGGACCTTCAGCCCAAGGAGGGTTGAGCTTCCTTCCATGTGGTCACGAGACCTAATGCCCCGGTGGGGAGTCTAAGGAGGATGTTGAAGGATGAGTAGGAGTCTGCAAGGTGAAAATCTATTAGTTCATTTAACAAACACATTATAGGCAACATTCACCAATAAGAACATTTTTTATTCACTCAACCAGGACTTTCTGATACCTCAGAGGATCATTTGAGAATGATTTAAAACATATGTAGGTTACCAAGAAAAAACTCATTCATTCAATGATCGCACTCCCTGATGCCCCTCATGGAGACGTTGGAAGAGGGTTTTGATGAATGTATAGGAATTCACAAGAAAAAACCTATTTGTTCATTCGATAATTGTTCTCTGATGCTTCTCAAAGAGAATTTGAAGTGGATTTTGAAGGATAGGTGTTCACCACAGAAAAATGGCATTCATTCATTCATTCAGTCAATAACGGCTCCCTGCTGCCCATTGAAGAGGTCGTTTGGGAAGGAGTTCTGTGTAGGAGTTCTCCAGGAGCACAGGCATCAGAGCCCTCCCTGGTGGCTCCCCCAGCAGCAGCTCCCCGTTTGCCCAGCCCAGGGAACCACTCTCTCCCAAAGATTCCAGGCAAGTCCCAGGGAAGACGCTGATTGGCTGAGTTTGAGTCACATGTCCACCTTGAACCAATCACAGTGGCCAAGGTGGATGAAGGACTCTAGGTCACACATCCACCCCAGCCTGGATTACAGGAGAACTTTTAGGCAGAACTAGCCAGAGACAGAACTGTTGGCCATTATAGGGCATGAGGCTCCCGTCATCTGGGGTATGCAAGCTACAATCTGAAGTCCATTTCATGTAGGGTTGCCAGATAAAACACAGGACATCCACTTAAATTATAATTTCAGATAACATATAACTTTTTAGCATAACTATGTCCCAAGTATTACATGGGACATATATTTAAAAATTATTCATTGTTGGGGCTGGCGCCGTGGCCGAGTGGTTAAGTTTGCGCGCTCCGCTGCAGGCGGCCCAGTGTTTCATTGGTTCGAATCCTGGGCGCGGACATGGCACTGCCCATCAAACCACGCTGAGGCGGCGTCCCACATGCCACAACTAGAAGAACCCACAACGAAGGATGTACAACTATGTACCGGGGGGCTTTGGGGAGAAAAAAATAAAATCTTAAAAAAAAAAAAAGATGCTCAACAACAACAACAAAAATTATTCATTGTTTATCTGAAATTAAATTTAACTGAGTGGCTGTCTTAGTTTGGTAGGGCTGCCATAACAAGGTTGCATAGACTGAGTGGCTTCGACAACAGAAACTTATTTCCTTATAGTCCTGGAGGCTAAAAGTCCAAGATCAAGGTGTCGTCAGGTTTGGTTTTCTCTGGGGTCTCTCCTTGGCTTATGGCCGGCATCTTCTCTTTGCGTCTTCACGTGCTCTTGTGTTGTGCATGTCTGTGTCCTAAGTGCCTATTCTTATAAAGACACCAGTCCTATTGGTTTAGGGTCCACCCCCATGACCTCATGTTACTTTACATCTTTTAGGCTCATCTCCAAATACAGTCCCATTCTGAGGCACTGGGAGTGAGGAGTTCCACACAGGAATTCTGGGAGAACACAGTTCAGCCCATAACAGCGGCTGCTTTGAAAAACAGTCTGATACTTTTTGAAAAAGTTAAAACAGAGTAACCATATGACCCAGGAATTCTACTCCTCGGGTGGAGACCCAAGAGACCCAAGAGAACTGAAAGCACGTGTCCACACAAAAACTTACACACGGACGTTCACAGCAGCCTACTCACAACAGCCAAAAACGGAGACACTCAAACCCCCATCAACAGATGAATGACTACACAAAATGTGGTCCATCCACACAGTGGAATATTAGTCAGCCATGAAAAGGAAGGAAGTCCTGGCATTTGCTACAGCATGAATCAATCTTGAAAACCTCACACTGAGTGAAGGAAGCCAGACACAAAAGACCACATAGTGTATGATTCCATCTATGTGAAACGTCAGGGACAGGCAAATCCACGGAGACAGAAAGCAGATCTGAGGTGACCAGGAGCCTGGGGAGGGGGATTGAAAAGTGACTGCTCATTGGAACAGCGTATCCTCTGGAGGTGATGAAAATGTTCTGGAATTAGATAGTGACGTCGACTGCACAACTCTGTGACTATGCTTAAAAACCACTGAATCGTATACTTTAAAAAGGTGAATTTTATGGTATGTGAATTATATGTCAATTTAAAAACATGTATGAGAAAAACAAGCTTTGCCAGGGAGTTCTGCGGTTTTAAGTGCTCAGTCTGGCCACTGTCACCTAATGGGATTATACAGCACCTCACAGGCGACTGGCCTGTGACCCTCCTGAGGGTCCCCTGCAGCCTGACAACACACCCTAATGTCCATGTCGAAGAGTGGAGTAGCAGGGGAACCTGCAGCTGCAGGACTGTGGGAGTCCCAGGAAACAGAGAACATGGGTGCTGTCTTGGGGCTTTGGGCTTTTCCAGCCTCGGTTTCCCTTCTGCAAAGCGGGACTGAACAATTACCATCGATGCCTGTGAAAGCTGTTCCTCCCGGGGCACTCAGCCAGGTGCTCAGGGACACTCGGCCAAGGCGGTCATCCTCGAAACAGAAACTGGCAACTACAGTGGCCGCCTGTTCTTGTAAATAAAGTTTTATTGGGACTAGGGCCAGGATTAGGGTGAGGCGGGCTCATGCAAGGGCAGAGTCTGAGCTTGTCTTTATTTAAAATTTTGCTGTTTAGTTCATTATGCATTTTTGCATTAGTTTTGATTCTTTAAACTATCATATTAAAATATTATATATCTTAATTACTGATTTTTTGTGGGCCCTCCTATATTTGGCTGCGAAGTGAGTGTTGTGTGCCCTGGGCACAGCTGATTAACTTCTCTGAGCCTCAGTTTCCTCATCAGCAAAACGGGCATGATAACGCTCCCTTCCTTCGAGTAGGGAAAGTGTTTACTTCTGGGCTGGGGGGCGGGGCCTGGAAGGGCGGGGCTGGCTGGCCCAATGGGGCGGGGCTCTTCCGAGCCGGCTCCAGGGAGGGGCGGGGTCAGGCTGCGTCAGCTGACCGGCTTAGCCAATGGCGAGAGGGGGCGGGGCCTGGGCGGCTGGGGCGGGGCCGGGGGGGGGGCGGGGCGGCGCGGACCAACGGGCCATGGACGAGCCGAGCCTCCTGCGGCGCCGCGGGCTTCAGGTGAGGCCCCTGCGCGGGCGGGCGGAGGGCATGGCCGGCTGGACTTGGTCTGGGTGTCGGGGGCGGGGCTTCGGCTTGCCCGGGGAAACTGAGGCAGGGGGCGGGGCGCGCCCGGGCTGCTCCCTCTGCCCACCCGCTTCTCGAAGTGCTTTTTGCCTGGTGGGAACGGGGTATGCCCTATTTGAC